CCAACGATTATTCAGCTTCGGGTCCAGAAGAAAATTGCCGTTGCAACCATGAGAGTCTTTGAGACCCTCTTAGCTGTCCACATTTAACTCCGGCTATCATTATTTTCCTAATTTTATTCGAAATGCCTTCCCTGGCCAAGCCAAAGCCATGCATGCGTGTAATTTGCCGATAATATTTTAGTTACAAAGCAAAAGGATAAACTTGAAAATAAACAAATGATTTTACGCCGCCTTAACATCAAATCTAGCATCAAACAACAATGAAACTCTTTGCTCCAACTCCAATTCCACAGCAAAGAATGAAGGGTAACCGATCCCGATCCAGCGAGCCAACGGCAGACCAATTAGTTGTCGAACCAAATGTGTTGTTGTTGTTGCTGGTGTTTTTCTGTAACATTTTCCAAAAAGCCTGAATATTCCATGGAACACAATGCAGTCATAGTCCATAGCACCGAGAACAACATTTTTAAGCCATGTTTATTTTACAGGGAATGCCAACAAAAATGCGTTGGAAATCTTTTTCCGGCCATACTCTTTGTAATGTTGATGATGATAATGGTGTGCTACTGGGGGGGGGACGGAGGAGGTGAGAGCTGAAGGCATTGGAAGCTATGTTGTTTTGTTTGTTATGGTCCTTTCTGCATCCAATCAGTAGCCAAAAACCCGCATAATGGTTGTCATTCATTTACACTAAAATTACACAAAAATACAAATAAGCAGACGCACACACACACGGACAAATACGAACATATACACATACATGCATGCCAACATGTCCACCATATTGGCATAATTAGCAGCCCACATTTATTTTATTGACGACCAACGTCCACGTTATAAATACAACAATCAAAACGCATACATGCACAGAGAGGTACACACACATGCACACACACGTATATCTGGTATTTGTAAGTGTTTGTTATGGTTTCTATATTAGGCGGGTTAGGGGTCACCCGATACTTTAACGATTCTAACTTTGTTATTGACTTTATGCAAATAATTTGTTCGCATGGCATTTTTGTCCACCACACCCCTAACCCCTCTCCACACCATCTTCCACATCGTCAAAATTTATTGGCAATTTGCTGTTGTTGCTGCTGTTGTTGTTGTTAGAAAATATGCATTTAATAAATTAGATGACGGCACGTTCATATAATTTTATTTTTATATGTTTATGCGAAACGAAGTGGAGCGGAGCGGAGCAAAGTTATTCATCCATTATGCGCGAACCATACTTAATTTTGGTTGCTAACGATGGACGTCGTTATGTGTGCTATTCAAGTTTTAAGGTTTTGAATATTTGCCCAAAACAACAACAACAACAAATATTTGCAATAATTTTAATTTAACATTGATTTTTATTCAAAGGAATTGGGGAATCAAGGGGGTGGGAATAATGTACGTTAATATGGCTGATATGTTCCGAAATTTCCTAGATTTCCAGCCAAAGAATTAGGGATCATGGCATGTGTGTCCCTTAGTGGTGATAGACCTGAAGAAGACCGTCTGATATATTTAATTTTCTCTTAATAGAAAACAATGCGAGTGCCTGGCCGGTGGGTGGGGATAGACATATCACCATATGTGTGCAATGATTTAGTAAGAGTCATAAGAAGTTTGAAGATTCTCGAGGGTCTTTGTCTCCAAAAAATATTTTTACTGATTTTGAAAAAATTAAGGATAACAACGGTACTTGTCATTTACATCCTCATCAATGAGATATGTTCGTTGGGACGGCATGTGATTGACTGACTGACTTAATGATTCATCAACGCTGAAGCTAGGATCTTGAAATTTTGGGTGGGATTTTGCAGTGGGGCCCTTTGGTTCGAAGGTGTCTGGAAAAGCCGGGTTTTGGAAAATTCGTACCAGAACGGTACGATAACTACTAAAAGGTACTTAATATGGTACCAATTGGTACAATTTGGTATTGGATCAACAAAGAGTGCTTGAAATCTGAAATTTGGTATTAGAAAAGCTCTTTATATGTATACAAAAATCGTACGAAAAGTACTGAATGGTACTAGTTTTGGAATTGGGTGAAGGGATAGAGGTAAAAATCTGAAATTTGATATTTAGATTACTTATGGTATTAGTGTTCGATATTTTGTTATATTTGAAACAATTTTCCAAGAAATAATGAAAAAATTGTGCATTTTATTATTGTGAAGAAATTGTGTATTAGCGGGCATTGCTATTCAAATTGTGGTAGATATATGTATTCGTGAAAAAATCTTGAGGCAAACCAACAACTGTAGCCCTGAACATTCTTCAAAAAATACTTTTTAAATATATCAAAAATCCACGATAACGGTTCCTTTAAAACTTGAAAAATAAAGTATCAAAACGTACGATTGTGACAGTTTTATTCTTTAAGAAAGTATTATTTAAAATATCTATCATGACTCTGATAGTCTTTGAAAGAAATATCTTCAAAAATCCACGATAATAACTCTGATATTCCTTAAATATTCCTTAAAAAAATGGATTTGAAAAATAAACGATTATAGCTCTAATAGTCTTTGAAAAATACAATAAAATATTTAAAATCCACGATATTGAATTAGCAAAAATTGTAATATGTGTTAACTTTGATAAACAGGTAGCAAAAACAATAGTCCGATCTTTACCATCTTTATAACAGATCCTGTGTTGATAGAAATATTCCGATGTGCCAAGTCTAAATTAATTTTTATGAGCTCAATGGATATTCAAAATTTCGACCTTTTGTGGGGGAGGTACCAGAAGAACTGGTCCGATATATTCCATCTTAACACCAGATCTTAGACTTATAAAAATATTGGGATGTGTGAAATTTGAAGACAATCGCATTCTAAAATCACATTTTATAAGAGTTGTAATTATTAAAATTTTTGACCCTTTGTGGGGGAGGTACCTGAGGGAGTGGACCGATATTGTCCATTTTCGCACCTGACATAGAACTGACGCAGATATTAGGATTCGCAAAGTTGGAGCAAAATCGGATTATACTTTCTTTTTCTGTGCAATAAATTATTTCCTTTGAAAATTTTGACATTTTGTGTGGGAGGTACCAGAAGGAGTGGACCGATAGTGCCCATCTTCGAACTCGACCTTGGGTTAATAAAATTATTGGGATGTGTGAAATTTGAAGACAATTTAACTCTTACATCACATTTTATGAGAGTTGTAATTATTCAAAATTTTGACCCTTTGTGGGGGAGGTACTTGATGTAATGGACCGATATTGTCCATTTTCACACCTAACCTAGCACTGATGCAGATATTAAGTTTCGCAAAGTTGGAGGAAAATTGGATTATCCTTTCTCTTTCTGTGCAGTAAATTATTTTCTTTGAAAATGTTGACATTTTGTGCCATATAGCTGAGGTATAAAAACCCACCGTTATGGATATGATAGTCCTAACAAAAATACTGTTTTAAAGTCCACGATTATGTCTCTTTTGGTCCTTACATAAATAGTATTTTAAAGTCCACGATTGTGGCTCTGAAAGTGCCTAAAAAATATATTCACGTTACTACACGTTAATGGCTCCAATAGTCCTTGAAAACCATATTTTAAAAAATCCACGTTAATGGCTCTGATAGCCTTAAAACATATATTTTAAAAATGCATGATTCTGGCTCAGATAGTTCATAAAATATAACTTTTAAAATTCCATGATTACGGAAACAATATATTTTTTAAATCTCCAATTATGGCCCTGGTAACCTTTGAAAGGATCATCTGTAAAAAATCAAAAAATATGATATGATAATTCTTGATGAAACATATTTTAAAATTCCACAATTATGACTCCGATTGTCCTTGATACAATTCTGAAATTTGATATTCAGATTACTAATGGTAAAAGTTTAAGAAATTTGTCGGTGGTTTGGAAATGAGTCTTATATTTGTACGAAAAAATGGAACTAAATTTGGCATTGGGTGAGGGGATATGGATCCTTAAATTTGATATTGAAGTCTCTATTGGTAAATTGAGGTATGAAGGTGGTTTTGGAAATGTGTACTATTATTGTACGAAAAGTGAAATATAGTACCAATATTCAGTATTGGGTGAAGGAACAGGGAAAAAATTCTGAAATTTGGTATGTCGATTGCTGGTGGTATCTGTGTTTGAAGTTCTGGAATTAATTTTGGATTACTTTTGTTATCTAGAATGGAGAGATGCAGATTATTTTGGATATATGTACTAAATGTTATTAAATTTGGTTTTGGTTGAAGGGACAGAGAAGAAATTTTGTATTGAGGTCATGTTTGGTTTCTAAGGTTTAGTACATATGTAGACATTGAAATAGTTTCGCACAGAAGAATTGGATCTGGATCTCTTGTACACTGGCTTTACTTATATCCTTCTCGGTAAACTTCAAAATGAAAGATTTTGAAGACATTTTGGTGTAAAAGGTAAACGGTTTCTTTTTATTTTTCCGAAAAGGGATAAACTTGGAAATTTTGTAAATTTAGTACGATGTGTGAAGTGTTGTATTTTTTTTTCAAAGTGAACAAAATATGCAGTTTCAGTACTAAACCGAACTACCGCAACGAATCTAAGGTGAACTTTTTGCTGACGAATTAGCCGGCACTTGCTAATAGTTCTATAAAACATAATTTTAGGAATAAAGTCAAAGATGAACATATTCTACGTCAAATAGCATTATGAGGTGCCAAAGATATAAAAATCCACATTAACATTATATACCTGAACCAAGCATCGGTATTAGATAACATTAGATAACGTAAGTCCACTCCTTCTCGTTAATGATATAGGGTATGATTTGTAATAATATAACTCTCATAAAATAAGAAAATATTCCCTAGTTTTATTTAACGTTCGCATGCTGAAATATTTCTACAAATAGTAAACTAAGTGTTAAGCCATTCAAGCAAAAAGTTACCCAAAATTAAAAAAAAAAATATGTCTATTTAGTTTCCTAATCTTATACTGCGTTTAAGCCCTCAAATTTTATTAAATATCTCTATATTTCCTTTAATTTTCAGGTGCCAGTAATACACACTGGGGTTATGGTTCGGCAACAGCATATTCACCCTACTTGGCCAGCAGCGGCTTGTCATCGTGTACAACACCAACATCGGCGCAGTTCAATAATCCAGCATTGGGTTTCTCGTGTTCATCGAATGAACAGGCCAATAATCAAGATTTCAGTGGTGCTTCTAACCGGGATTGTGTGCCAAGTAAGTAAAAATAGAACAAGAAATCCCATAATTTTTAATTTTTCTGTTTAAAAAATATTAAAAATCACAAAAGGACCATATCAACTTCAGTTCGACTTTGTATCAGAAAAGTTCGATAGCTTTTGAAAGGTCTAAAAATAAGGCCTATTCTTCATAAATTTTATTTCGACTCCTTATAATCGACTCCGGGATCATAGTTTGTGTACGATTTTACACTTTATATCCTCCTAAAGCAAGCAAAGAACTTCGCGTTTTTGAAATTTTGATTTTCCAATATGTTCATAACAAAGCCGACTACCTCGTCGTTTTGGCGAAAGACTACAATTTTTTACTGAATTTTTCATCCGAAATTCCGGATAATCATTTTTTTTCCTAATTCATCCTTAGAAATATCATATAATTTTTAAGAAATACCGACCGACAATAGTAATGTTATAAACAAAAATATTCGTTTCTTTTCTTTCCAGTGCTGCCCGATTCAACAGCTTCCGACTTGGATCAACATCTCAGCAGCCTTGTGGGTTCTACAACTGGGCAGATGACACATCACAGTTTGCTGGGATCGACGGGACAAACAGCCATCTCATCGACGGTCAATGGGGCCGCCGGAGCTGTTGCCAACTCAATTTTGGTACCACGTTATCACAACTCGAACAACGATTACAATGTGCACTCCAGTCAAAATGGTCCACGCAGTCTCAGTGATTCGTCACAGGCCGAATCGCCGGTACAGGAAGATCTACTCTCTACAAATACACCAAATTTGGGTGGGGCAAATGGCAATGCGGCCACAAATGGCGGTACGAACAGCAACTCCAATGGCTCGGCCAATAACTCCCTGGTCGGTTCTAATCCCAATTTTACTAATCTCGTAAATCAAAGTCAAAATCCCGCTGGCTATGGTGGCACGGCTGGGGCGGGAGTGGGTGTTGGTGGCGGCCATGGTGGTGCTGCAGGAGCCGGCTGTAATGGTTCCCTTTATCCCGTTCTTCCGGCCAGCCTATTGTATTCTCAGCTATATACCGCTGCAAATCAGTCACATGGTTTCCACTCACATTCCTTGCCCTCACACACATCGCCCAATTCAACGGTCCACGGTGAGCTGCAAAGTGTAATGGATCACATTAGCAATGTGGGAGTGAGACAGCAACACAACATTATGTCCGGCGGTGGGGTGACACATCCCGGCGATTTGACTTTGATTGGCAATTGCGGCGCCTCGGTGCGTAACATCGAAGATGGCAATACTAATCGCCAGTTGACAGCATTGGCTGCCCATCGTGGTCATCATAATCCTGGCGATAACGGTAGTGTTTGGCGGCCATATTGAGGTCAGGTGCTTTGGTGCGGCTCTGCTGTGCTATAGTGTTACGAGAATCCGCCAGAGGAGCAGCATCAGGCAACGGGTGTGGCAACGGAGAGCAAGCACTGGTAAAATGGAAGGTGTTTGGTTATTGGGGGCATGGGAGGGTGGTGAGGTCCTGGTGTGGCAGTGTTTTGTAAATATGTAAAATAATGATTTTAAAATAAGATAAAAAATATTAAAATATATTTAAAAATTTGCAGCTAGTCCCAAAAATCCGAACTTTGTAAAATTTTAGTTGAAATTATTTTGTATTATAAAAATTGGATTTTTTATGAGAGTATTGATATTATCATTGTTAATTGAGTGTTATTAAATTCCTATAGACTGTCAAGAAAGTCCATCTTGACATATTCACTTATAGAGCGCATCTTAGTTCCTAACACCCATAAAATAGAATTCTCTTTAATTTCTCTTTTTGATTTCTTAGATAAAATTATCCGTAATAAAATCAAGCGTTCTAAAGAAAATATGGGGAAAGTAGTGGAAGTCGTTCGAAAATGGCGTCAGGGAATATTCGGACCTGTGCGGAAATATCGGTCAAAAGAAAACAAAAAAAATTATTTTCATACAAAATTTCATGGCGATCGCTGCCATTTTCCAAAAGATTAAAGAAAATAGTGAAGAAATTTGGAGGTAAATAATATTTAAGCTGGAGCTTGGAAATTCTGAGATAAATTTGGGTAATTTCTACAATCTTTTAACCACATACATTGGGTATAGGATTGTAAAAATTTTCAGTATAGGTTTCGGGGGTAGATACCTCCCAATTTTGGTAAATTCCCATCTAAATTTGTCAATCGATTCATTTATTTTATTTTTGTAGTTTTTTTTTCTTAGGCAAAGGACAGAAATCTTTGATGGGCTATAAATATTAAAAATCGACGAAACTTTTAGATCCTCAATATAATCTTAGGGAAGTTTTTGAAATTCATTTTGTGGAGTCAAATTTCATTAGCTTGAAATCGTGAGCCAATAGGTCTCAAGTATCTTAGAACATAGAAAAATTGTACTTATACTATGCCGAGTTGTAGAATTTGGCAGATTGTGGTAGACTCGACTGTAACACTGTGCGACAAAATTGATTTATTTTAAATGAAAATGGAAATATTCCAATGAAAATTATTCGTCATAAAATTGTACTATAGCTCCAAAAGAACATTCAAAATCTAAATCCTATCCAAACCGCAGTAATTCAGAAAAATAAACAAACTTTGAATACCCTCCACCATTTGGAACGAACTTTGACGAACTACGTCGTGGACCTACATAGGCATTGTTTGTCATAAGCCATTATCATATTCAAATTCGAAACTTGAATTAAACGGTCAATATCGGAGCTGTGCGAAGACCTGGATCAGCATAGGCAATTTTCTGTCACAGGCTGTAGCATCCATTACGAACTTCAAATAGACATCTCAAACAATTTCGGTGAGTATTGTACCTAAAATCGTCAAAATACTAAATATAGGGAGATACTGATATATGGAACCTATAAGAAGACCTGGACCTGCATAGACAATTTTCTGTCACAGACTGTAGTTTCCATTACGCACTTCAAATACCAAATTTGAAACAATTCCGGTTAATAATGTCGCTTAAATCATCAATACCGTACCGTTATATGGAGGCTATACGAAGACGTGGACCTGCACAGACAATCTTCTGTCTTATGCTGTAATATCCATTTCGAACTTCAAATACCAAATTTGAAACAATTCCGGTGAATAATGTCGCAAAAATCATCAAAATACCGAATATCGGGAGGTACCTTATATGGGGGCTATATGAAAACGTGGACCTACATAGCCCATTTATGAACTTAACCTGCTTACTGGAAAAATAAACATGTGTGCAAAATTTTAGATTTCTATCTCAATTCGTTCGAAAGATAGCGTGATTACAACAGACAGACAGACGGACATCGCTAAATCGACTTAGAATTTGACGCCTATCAAGAATATATATATATATATATATATATATATATATATATATATATATATATATATATAAAATCTCATTTTAGAGTTTAATCCCTGTTTTATGTGAATTTTTGCAGATTTCTCCTTCAAAAGCATTGTTATAGAACGATGACGTCACAGGAACGAATTTTTAATTTCCACGCTTTGATAGCACTGTGCGACAAAATTATTTTTGCTCTAAACCCAGAAAAAGGTTATACAAATAGAGCTAAGAATATTAGAGACGTATATTGGTGTTTTGTGAGCTTGCCCAGGGAGGATTGTTACATAGATTTTCTTCCAGATATTGTATGTCCTGTTGTTTAAAAAAAAATAATTCTGTCGCACAGTGAACTGGAATTGTATTTTTTAAGCTTTCAAATCCTTAAAAAGTCAAATTCTCTCTATAACTGAGCTTTAATTTTCCCTATGTTGATACTGAACTCCAGACTAGTCGTCTCAGTGCCCATTTCTTCTATGGATCTTAATTGGCAATCTAATTTCCCCCCAAAAAATCCTGAGTAACAACCCCATTATGGAGCCCCATATTTCTGTAAATGTAATTACGATGTAAATAAACCATGAAATAATAATGCAACATACTTCTTTCCTTTTGTGTAATGAATGTGCAATTATCGATTTTTGTTAAATAAATTTTTACAAATAAATATAAGAAACAAAATTAAAAAAAAAAAAACTAAATAAATAACCTTACAAATCTAAATGTCATTTAAATGTAGCCAAAGAGAAAAAAATGATGCAAATTACAAAATAAACAAAAATACTTAATTTTAATATTTTAATTTGTATATATAAAAAAATAAAAACAAAAACGAATTTTAAAAGATCTACATTAATTACGATTATGAAAAATGAGAAGAAATGAACAGACACGTGAAAACAAATCTAGTCAATATTAAAATAAAAGAATATAGTCATTTACTTTAGAATTTACTTTAAATAAAATAAAACAAAAAATAAGAAAATATTAATTGAAATAATAAAAAATAATAAAAAAAATAATAATAAAAAACATATTCACATTGTATTTAAGCATTTAACGATTTTGAATGGTAATGGATGCATTGTAATTCTCCATGAAAATAATGCTAATGACATTTTTCTGCAGCATTTGAAAATGACGATATAAGACAAATGCGATTTTAAATTAAAAATTAAAAATTGTAATAAAATATAATTGAAAAAAAAAACTAAAATACCCAATACTATCAACTGGAATATGATGTGAAATAAAATGATAACAGAAATCAATGTATCAATAATTGTGATGGCGTTTTTATTTTTAATATCTAAAGAATTCAAGGGGTATAAAGAATGCAAAGGGTAAGTAAAAGGCAATGGAACACAAATTGGAACATCTCTAGTTTTAACATGTAAAAAAAGTTAAGATCGGTCGGGCCGAACAATTTGGATGGAACTTGGAAAATTTCCAAAACATCCGTTAAAAAACCGTTATATGGGATCTATACGAAGAAGTGGGCGTGCATACGTAATTTAGGCTTTAGTACCGATTCAGAACTTCAAATACGAAATTTAAAACAATTCCGGTAAATAACGTCGCAAAAATCATCAAAATACCGAATAAAGGTAGATACCGTTATATGGGGGCTATACAAAGACATGGATCTGCATAGAAATTTTCTGTCATAGGTTGTAGTAAGTATTTCTTATCCTGGGGGACGGATCCGGATATATGACCCAAAAGCCCGAGATAGATCCGGATCTCTTCAAATAATATTGAAAAATAATATTTGAATGGTTATGAAAATAACTATCCAACAAGTTCTCACATGTAAATGAAACGAATGTAAACTATCGGTTTTTTAACCCCTTAAAACTCGAAAAAGGCCCCATTATGGCAGTCCATAAAATAGAGGCCAATTATAGCTTACACTCAAACTTTTCCAAAACGATACAGTATGTGATATTATCTTTCCTGGATTTAGATATATGGGTCTTTGAACCCGAACAACTCTACTCTGTCCGAACTAAAGTTTTTCTAAATTTAATACTTCATTTAAGTAGGCGGTATTCGGGCGGGACTTGAGATTTTCTCCTCTGGGCATATCCAACACCGGCTACGCTAAATAAAGTTTTTAGTACTGAAAATATTATTACAATGTACTGAGCAGAATCGGATCGTCCGCTTTAAAAGACCCACACCTCTAGATCCAAGAAAGATAATAGCAGATATAGTGTCAACAACAATTTGTCGGACTTCCAAAGTAAGGCCTTCTTTGACCTTCAGGATTTTTAAAAAAAATCGGGTAAAAAGAATCCAATAATTTTTATACATCTCTCGGAACGTTTGAAAATCCAATCATGTGGCGACTTGTCAGTATAACAGATAGCATTAGATTTCAAATGATATTGTATATATCGATTTAGTAGACTCAGGTCTTGGACCTGGACTGTGTCAAATATCAGTGTCCGTTCCCCGGAATTGAGAAACAAATACCTTTAAAAAATTCGAGAGTTTTAACTAAACCAGAGCTAAACCTAAGGACTATATGTTGACCCATTGTGGGGGAGTACGGGATGGAGTGTACTGATATTGTAAATTTTCCCCCTGGCCTAGCACTGATGTAAATATTAGGATTTGCAAAGTTGCAGCTAAATAGAATAATCCTTTTCCTTTCTGTGCTGTCAAATAATTTCTTTGAAAATATCGACCTTTTGTGGGGTAGGTACAAGAAGAAGTGGTCCGATATTGCCCATCTCTGAACTCGATCTAAGTTTGACAATAATATTACGATGTACCAGATTTGGACCAAATAGTACACTGCCTTCGAAAATTATTGTGCACACCAGCCAGACACACAGACGGACGGACATCGCTAGATCGACTCTCAATGTCCTGAAACGGATTTGGTCCAAAGAAGTGATATATACCCTCTCTAGCCATATGACTGAGGGTATAAAAACCAAGCAGTCGAAAAAGAAACCATAATGGGAGTCCATTAAATATTAGCCATATTATAGTTTACACTCTACCCTTTTCAAAATGCTACAATATGTGATATTTATGCCCAAGTATTGTTGACACTATAATTTTTCCAAAATGCTACATTATATGTTATTATCTTTCCAGGATGAGGGGATATGGGCCTTTGAACCCGGACAAGTTGATTTGGAG